CCAAGTCCTAGATAGCAAAGTGTGGCTGGCGGCTACCCAAGGGACACTCCTAGAAGCTGTGCTCTCAATCACTTGCTCCATTGGCCGAAGACTGCCAGGTTACCTTTCAGGCATACACCCTCTGTCTTTGTGTGTGTGAAGTCTTCCATCTGTTTCTTCATTTTGCCCTTAAATGTCAGCATAAATTATTTGAAAAACTGAGAATACTTCCATGACCTCCCTCAGGAACACAATTACTTTTAAACTTATAAAATAGGAAACTTCTATATCTTATCTGTTAAAAAATGTATCCCAAATGCCTTCATTTTTGAAAAGGGAGCATATATGGATTGCTTCCCTTTTCACTTGTTCATACGCATTATGAAGTCATCTCAACTTTCTTATTTCCAGGTTCAGTAATCCCAGTTATTTTGTTGTTTATTTTTTTGTATTTACTAGTTTGTGTTTTATATGTAGTTTTGATGCATATGAAATAGGTACCACCTAACATCTGCTTATCTCTACTAAGTATGAAAAAGAAAAAGAATAACCTTAAGCCAAGATTGGATTTTACCAGTTTTTCTAATTATACTTGATGGATATTTCTTAGTCCTTTTCCACTATATCCTTATTATGATTACTGCAGTGAAAAATGACATGCGGCCTATCACAGTGATATTTCTGATCAAATTGTAGTAATTTTTTGTAGGTTTGATTCATTTCCTGGCAGGTAGCATTCTTCTTACTGATCTGAAGGGCCTTTCTCAAGTTGAATTTCTGACAGTAACCGATCCTCTGGGCTGTGGCATGCTTCAATTGAAAAAGCAGAATGTGACATGCCTTTCATTGCGTGGGACATATATAAAAAGTGCTGTGTTTCCTTTGTAAGTGCAGCCTCCGTTCAGCTTTACACGAGAGTGTGAAACATTTTAATAATTCCAAGTCTCTTCTGGGAGCCCATATTACATGGGTAGCTTAAATCTGACTTTGGCTGCTTATTAAAAGAAAAAAATATTAAGAACAAGGCTTCAGTTAGAAAGAAAGAAACATTCTTAACTTCATAGGGAGGAATTTCCTTGTGGAGATAGACTCTGAGGATGTGTCATCTAATACTATGTGCATGAATATTAGATATTTCATTTGGATTATAGAGTTGGTGGAATTAAAACATAATGCTTGTGGACATAATATATCCCTAGTGTAGCCTAACTTTTTTTTTTTTAACCAAGCAGTTTTCACACAGCAAGACAAACCAATGAAAACCTTAAGATGTATTTGTTTGTAAGCTATAGACTACATTCAAAGAGCATTTATTGAGCACCTGCTGTGTCCATGGCATAGAGTGGATAAAAGCAAGTGTAGTGTACCAGTCCCAATTTCCAGGAATTTGCAGTCTAGCTGGGGAGATGTGACATGTGCATCCTCTGGCTTTGGCAAAGCCAAATGACCTTATTTTTTGTGTCTGGCACTCTTACTATGGATGAATGCCATTAAAAAGCAGAGAATGCATTTTACTCATATTTGGATCTTCAGTGTCTTGCAGAGAATAGCTTCACAATGGATATGTGTTGGATTCAATGACAGAAGTGCTTTAGCTTTATGTATGCACATGAATTAAAATGTAACTTTAACACCATATTTACCATGGGGCCACCTGTATACAAATATTGAAGGTGAATAAGATCTAGTCCCCGTCCCTTTTTTTACTCTCTAGCTGTATCTGCTCAGCTGACTCCAGTTGGTGACTTCTGGCAGCTCTGCTGCGTTGAAAAAGATGGTGTTAACCTGAAGGAAGTGTGAGCTGCTTTTCTCAGCATGCCAAGGGCAGATCAGGATTTAACCTCAGTCACAGACTCCTTCAATATGCGTAAAAAAAGAAATCTTTTTTTGCTCTTGACATTCAATCATGCTAAGTAATCTTTGTGCGTGCACATAAGAGGTAGGGAGAGGGGTGGATAAAGAATTTTTTTTTCACATCCGTCTGCATAGTTTCCAATAACTATTGAAGAGTCTAGTTCTAAAAAATACTAGTGACCACTTAATATCTGTGAGCAGAAGGGATCAACTGAAAATTAGTACAGTTATATAAACTCCATGATGGCGTCGAATATCCCATCAAGTGCACAGAAAATGCTGCTTTGCTATTTGAACCAGTTTTAGAAAAGTTGATGTGGACAGTGAGGGCAAAAGTCAGGAAGATAATTCTTTAGCATTTTACATGCAGAAGCTTCAATATGCTTTGCTAGATTAAATGATTCTTCCCATAGCACTGGCTTTCTCAAGGAAAATCAGGCCAATGGTTATATACTTTACTTCTGTGGTATGCAGTGCACTATCTTTGGCCCAGTGGGGTATACAGTCACACCTAAGATTTGTTCATACCCTTGAGAAATTTTCATGGGGTTTGTGTGGATATGGGGTTTTATAGATTACTAGATTCAGCATGGGAAGGAAGAAATTTGGCTCCCTGTCAACCTATTTTTCTTTTAAAGTTTTCCCAACATTACTTTGATTCTGGGCATATATGCTGCTCTTTAAGGTGGGTTATTTATATTTTCTTTAATATAAAATCTTATTTCATACAGTGTTTTGACATTCATGGCTTATGAAACTGCTTCAAAATTCATTATAAACAATAAACTCCCCTGTAGCTGGCAGTGTGGGCAGGATAGCTTATCCCTGGTTTACTGGTGCACATAGAACTTGATCACATTCTCAAACTCTGTGTTTTGAAAACTTCTGATGCTTGCTGTGTAAATAAACTGAGACCTAAATTCTTATAATCGAAGGTAAACAGTTTTGTCCTGGCTTGTGTGAGTGTGTGGTGAGGAAATGTACACAGGGACAGAATTATCATTGATTTGGCAACAAAGTTGGCAGGCATAGATGTTTGGTAAATGCCTGCAAGATAAAAGCATCCAAAATAGCAAAGTAGTCAATCATTCTCAAGAACTGAAAGCTAAGATATGCTCAAAATAGTATGAAATTGTTGATGCTATGGAGGCTTAGGAAGTGACTATAGGATGATGGAAATTTGGTAGGGCATGTGCACATGAACATACATACACACAAGCACACACACCAATGAAAACATGCACCTATTTGAATAATAGGAAAAATAGCAAATCCCACTTGAGAAATGACAGGAAAAAGGAAAGAGGAGGCAAACAATTTAACTCAAAAGGAAAAAAAAAAAAACATGTTCAGCTTTGGGGGCTGGACTTGTGTGTGGAAATACCACCCCACTTAAACCAACAAAAGAGAAGATTAGAAGGGAGTAGAGGAAATGCCTTGGGAAATTGAGCACACTGCTCTAGAGGTTGAGCCAGTAGAAGAAGTGGTCGAAATCTGTATAATCCAGTCAAATAATGTATTCTCTTGGATCTAGAGAAACTTTATGCACAGATGGGAGAGAAATGAAGCATTGGGTGCTGTCATAAAATTTCGTGGTATGTGTAATGTACCATCAGGAGTTCATACATATTATATACAAGCCCAAGCAATGACTCTACTCTTGACTCCTTTTCCAGTTACCGCCTTATCTCTTGCTTTCTTTTTAAATTCTACCATTTAAACTTAGTAGAATTTGTTCATTGTCTCCCTCGTGCATTCACTCTTCACCCTGCCTGGATTCTGCCCCCACTGTTCCAACAAAAACAGTTCTTGCCAAAGTCATGAATCGCTTCCCAGTTGTCAATTCCAATGGACATTTTCCAGTCTCTTTTTATTGTGATGATTAAAAGAAGAATTTTAGTATATTAAAGAAGCCAAGAATGGATTGGCAAAGTTCCCGTGATCCTGCCATTTTGATTCTCTCTTTTATAGCTGCCAAAATAACTACTGAAGATTTAGACAAGGAAAATGGGTTATTTGGACTAAATGTAAACTGGAAAAGATTGAAATGTATGACACTTTGCCAAAAAGAATCGGTCCAAAATAAAACTGAAATTGGAATATCAGTCTTTAAAACTGAACAAGACATCGATAAGTAAAAGGAAATTTAATTACATTGTATTAATAGAAAATATTATCCTTTATGGAACAATCCCTATTAACTCTACAGGAGAGAAGGGGAAACATTGCTTAGTACCCGGACATGTACCTATAAGACTTTGAAGTCTGAAGAGGAAGTTAAATGGGTAAAGTTTTAAGGAACGCATAAAGATGAACAAACACTCAGACACAGACGTCCTTATGAGTACTAAACTTACTGGTCCAGAGTATGGAGAGAATGAGGCCTGTGCTTGTAGAATATTCTGGTTGACAGTATTAACATTGAAATCATCCTTCAGAAATAGCTTGGTCTCCTATCTGGTAATTGCTGGTGGGTAGGGTTTCTAAACTAAATTCTTAGATACCTGTTTTATAGTCTCTGTGTTTATTCCAGTATTACTTTTTCTATCAATACATATTTTTTTTCATTCAGAAACTGTCACGTTAAGAAAATTCAAGTGATAGGGTAGGTTGAGGGGTTAAATGTTATGTCAGTCCTTTAAAAGAGAGAAGACATGGTAATGCCACTATAACCATTAGGAGCAGACACTTTTTTTAAACAACTGCCCTGATCCTTTCAGTCAGCTCGAAGGTCAGTGAGAAATTCTGAGTGCTCAGACGCTCTGCAGGGAAATTTATCTATGGAAAAAAGAACGTATCAGCTCATTTTTAAAAAAGACTCAGGCCATCAAATCATCCCCAAAGTACCCTTTCAAATCCAACAAGTCAAGCAAAGCTACGGTTAATGATATGCTTGTGTTGATCAGAGCTGACATTATGTCATTAAGTAAAATTTGTGATACATTAGAGCTTTGTTTCTGTGCCACATGTATATGTGAGTATATTGGATCTTATTGTATAATTTCTACATAATTATTCTCCCATTTTGGGACCCATATTAGGTTAAATGGCTACCAGGGTTTTCCACAATTTTTCTGATAAATATGTGTATGTGTGTATTCTTTTAAATGCCAAGTCCTTGATCAGGTAATAACCTCTAGTTATAATTTATGTTTTTTTTCCTTCAGGGAATATAATCTAATTTATGACCCAGTTTGTGAGGACACGTTAAAACAGAAAGAAAAGTAAGTCTCTTTGTTGGCATGTGGCATTAATATAAATATTGTTATATTGTAGCTTAATTTATTCTCCTGCTTTTCTTTTCATATGAGTATTATAACTGCTTTAAGGTCCCAAAACTTGTATTATATTTGGATTCTCTCCATTACTCTGAGCACATTAGTGTGTAGATAGTAGGAGCTAATTTAAGCATTTCTTAAATGAATCATATTAAAGTAAGAAAAACTTGAAAACTTCATTGAACATAGGTTAATCTTGCTTTGATGATTTAAAGTTCCTTTAGGAACTTGGGGTATTTCCAGGAACACTAAGAAAATCAATTACCATTGAATGGTACTATAAATTTTATTTATTTAAGTTTTCTGGGGTTTTAGACATAATAAATGGGGTCTTACTATAAATAGGACTAGATGCGCATGCACACAGACCCATTGAATCTAAAACATCTCATGGAAAAGTGCAGACAAACTTTTTTGATGCAAATGGTGCTAGTTCTAAGTGGGGGAGGGGTCTAGTGTCAGAACTGCTGCAAAGGTTATGCAGAGTGCAATGGACAACAGTTGTACCAGAGCAAAGGAATCTGAATCTGAGTGAAGGGTAAAGGTCAGAGTTGAAAGAATCGATTGGCAAAAACTATAGAATGGCAGTCTTCCACAGATACAGTTCAGTTGGGTGTTTGTGTGTGTGTATGTATGTATGTATGTTTGTGTGTACACATGTGTCTGTATGTCCTTGCACTTTCTCTTTCTCTCTCTGTCCTCATCCTATCCCAACTCAATTTGATTTTCTCTATGCAGGTGAGAAGATTAGTCTGAAGCCTCACCACTCTCTAGTGTCCAACTTTGATTTGCTTTTTGTCATATAGAAAGAACTGACTCCCTCTCCAAATTATTCCTTAGAGTAGTAAGACTCACCCTACAAAGCATGGAAGTTTCTCTGAAATACCTAATTTTTGAATACATATTTAAGCAAACCTTTTGGGGGTTTTTGGGTCCAAAATCTGATGTCTGGACCATGTGATGCTAACTGCTTTTCATACTTTTCACTGAACGATACACGTGGCAATTTATTAGTACTCCACAAAGTTCCTGAGTCCAGAGAAGTATAAAATTGGTCCATCTTATCAACTCTCATTAAAGACATAAATAACTAGAAAGGGAGCTGGCCATAGTGAAGATAAACAGATAAACATTGATGCCATTTGTGACATAAAGGATGTTTATAGAGTTTGAGTGAAATACTTCATGAAATACATGACTATAAAAGGCAGTCTTTTAAAATCATGTTATATGATTTAAATGTGCACATGTAACAGAATTAATAACTTTAATTTTGTCAAGTAGATGGTCATTTTCATATACATACATATATACACACATATACAATAGTCACATAATCTCTCTCTCTCTCTCTCTCTCTCTCTCTCTCTCTCTTAACTGAAGAGAGAAAAAGAGACTATATTCCAGTTAACTCAAAATAAATTATCAATGCAACAATGGGGTCTTGTGTTATATTTTGGTTACTTACCACTTCCTCTGGAGACTTGCCTAGGTGCCTAGCTGCCTCCTCCTAGCCTACTGTATCCCCTCACCACTTCCCATCCTGGCAGGACCCACATGCAACCCCTGCCTGCCATGCCAGCTCTCTGGCCTCCTCTCACACCAGATTCCTGATTCCTGTCTGTTTTCTAATTATCCTGCCAGGTCTTTTTCTAGTTCCTCATCCAGATGGTCTGCTTCCTCCCTGTATGTGCTTTCATAGCACCATTGTTCTTCCTTCATAATATGGTCAGTTTTGTTGCAGTGCAACATACACATTTTTAAAAGTCAAATTGCTGTGTAAAATGGCACAATAAAAGCCACAGGGCTTATGGGAAAGGGGATTAGGCCACAGCATTCAGATCTTCCCTGTAACACATTAAGAAAGAAACCAGAAGCTAATACAAATTTTACACATGAAGAAACGTGAAAAGATGTCAACAAATATGCTATTTCATCTTTAAAAATGATGCAAAGTTTTCTCTTGAAAATGGTCTTTGGAAAAGCTGCTGCTTGTGAGTTATGAAGTGATGGAAGGAGGTTGTCTGGAATCCTTCAGAGAGTTGTACCCGAGGTAAACTGAGGTCACTGGAAGAGTTTTGTGCTTGCGTTTCATTTATTTACTCCCACTTGGCTCTGTTCAACTGGGTGCAGATTTTTGCATGTTCATCTAATATTTCTTGAGAATGAATTTGCTGCATAAGCAAACACAAAATCACTTTATGCTCAAATTGTTCCCTAATATATCAATTTCATGATTTCAAAACAAATGTCGTAGCAGAACTGGCTGCACACTGTTGAAAACTTCCATTTATTTGCATGATTTTCCATGAATGCCCATATTCTGCATGAGACTAGACACTGTGAGGGCAGGGTCCTGTTTGCATGTGCTCTTCTCTGTAGCCTCCTCATCTAGCACATGGCCTGCTTGGTGGGAGGCACTTGGCAAATGAATGAATGAAGCTTTTTGTCCATTTTCCTCTCATTTTCTATTTTCTCATGACCCTGCTACTCCTTTTTTATACCCTATCAATGAAAGGTTTATAGCTGATGATAGCCTTATATGTTTTTCTATCTAGAGAGCAAAATCTTGGGATAGTTTCTTCATTAATTATTCATATGACTCCTGTATCAGGCAGAATTGAGCTAGGAAAACAGAACTCATGCCAAGTTATTCAGTGGAGAGGATTTCAGATGGTTACTGAAATTACTGAGTGGTTAGTTACTGAGTGGTAAGTAACCACTCATTTAAAGGTATTTTTGAGAGCTAAAAAATAACCTAAGTGTCTATTGATGAATGAGTGAAGAAATTGCCATGCACATAACACATACTCAAACTGAAATATTATTCAGCCTCTAAAAAAGAGGTTTTGTCATGCAACAACATGGTTGAACCTTGAAGATACACTCAATGGAGTAAGACAGAAAAGGAGAATAAAGCACTGCACAATCTCATATAGGTGGGAACTAAAACAGTCAATTACATAGGAGCAATAGTTGGAAGGATGGTTACCAAGAGCCAGGCAGTCAGAGAGATGTTGGTCAGAGCCTACAAAGTTGCAGTTATGTTAGAGAATAAGTTTAGAGATCTGTTGTCTTGCTGATAACTACAGCTAATAATTGTGTATTAGACAATGGAAATTGGATAAGCAAATTTATTTTGGGTCCTCTCATCATGCATGAACACACAAATGGTGACTCTGAGGGGACGCTATGTTAATTAGCCTGACTATAGTAATCATTTAACTAAATATGCATATAATGCTACACACATCTATATATATATAAAATCATGTTGCACACCTCACATGTATACAATTTTTATTTAAGAATAAAGTAAATGGGATGGTGAGACAATTCAAAGCTTGGCTGCAGCAGGAAGATGCTGCCAATCATAGGACTGGTGAACCATTAAATCGTGGTCTTAGCAGAGCCAGGGGCAGAGTTACCTAGAGACCTCTGAAACCACAAAGGGGTCACGCCCTTTGATAAAAATGTTGCCCTGAGGAGGGAAATAAGAAGGAGGGGGCAAGCTCGCTTTTAAATGATCTTAAAAATGCCTACTTTAGCTTGTCCTTCCACCCCAATCTCTCCTTCCAGTGCTTCCACTTGTAAGAACTTAACCATTGGCCAGGGAGTGTGGGAATGTCATCTGTGGGCATCAGTTCCCTGCACCACAGAACTGAGTAGAGGTAAGGAAGGGAGCAGTGATTGGGGTGACCTCACTGTTTCACTTTCTTCTTTCAACAAATAAATCGTTCCCTGGTATCACGCTGCCTTATGGATCACCACATGAAAGTCTGCTTCATCAATTTGGTAAGAGAGATGTATAGCAGTTAGATTTCTAATGAGTTTCCTTGTGAAAACATAATGGTTAATGGATTGTGTGTATTAAGAGTGTCAAGTGGATGCCAGATAGATCCAGTAGGCCAGACGTGTGCAGTGTGTGTCATGATGAAACTTTTTTCCTGGTGACTCATAATGCAAAAGATTTTTTAAAAATTGAGCTCTGTCTTGAGCTTCAAGTCACAGCAGCAATGCAGTTCTTCTCACCTTTACCCTGTCTTATTTTCCTCATACTTTATAGGCAATATTGTCTTCCAGAAATTATATTTCCAGCTGAATATTAAAGTATTCTCCAGGGCAAAACAAAAGTAATCAAAATGGAGCTTTTACAAATAACGATTTTGAGCACAGATTCTCCCGGAGACTGAGATCATTCTTTCTATTTGGGCTGCTTTTTTATTTGGTTCCTTCTTTGTATCATTTAGCACAACAATGCTATATACTGCAGAAATGGCTGGGCAGAGATTGTGTGTGTGTATGTGTGTGTGCATGCGTGTGTGTGCGTACGCTTGTGAGCACAAGATCAGTGGAAGGAGTACTTATTTTGTAGACTCTATTCTGTTTTTGTAAAATGTATGAAAGAAATTTAAAATGTACAAATAAGAGCTTTTCAGAGTTACTCACCAATTTCTTTTACACGGAGGAGTATCATCTTTATTATTAAAATAGAAAATACAATTTAATTTTAATAAATGTATATTAAACTAAACAATTTTGGGGTTTTTTTTGTATATGTTCTACAGTTCTACTTCAGAACTAACATTTAGTTGCTAATCTCAATGGTATTATATACAAGGTGCTTTTTTTCTTAGTCTCTAAAATTGTTATCATGATAAAATATTTGTTAGCCTTTTCTCTGGTAGGTGCATTGTGAAGTGCAACTTACAAGGCATGTTATACTGACATCCACTGGTTCTATAAATGGGGATAAATTATACTGGCTATAGTATTTTAAAGCATACTGAAGCGTGTATATAAGTGAATGTCTTAATTTTTCTCTTGTGTGGCTATCTCTATTTTCAGAAAGTCTTTCATCCGAATGGCAGAGTTGTCGGTTAACTCTATTGTGTCTTTATTTTTTCATTCAATTACGGATATTCCTCCTGCCTTTCTGCCACAGA